CTCCCCACGCCTGCAGCGGTGCCTGGGGTTGCTGTGCCCCCAGTGCAGGACCCGGCCCTGAGCCTTGCTGACCCTCACCCAGTGCCTGGGCCCATCGACCCAGCCTGGCCAGGGCCCTCTGCAGAGCCTCCCTGCCCCCCAGCAGATCAACGCTCCCGCCCAGCTTGGTGTCCCCTGCAAACTGACTGAGGGTGCCCTCGGTCCCCTCCTCCGGATCATCGATAAAGATATTGAACAGGACCGGCCCCAGCACTGAGCCCTGGGGAACAGCACTGGTGACCGGCCGCCAACTGGATTTGACTCCATTCACCACCGCTCTCGGGGCCCGGCCGCCAGCCAGGTTTTTACCCAGCGCAGAGTGCACCCATCCAAGCCGTGAGCAGCCAGCTTCTCCAGGAGAATGCTGTGGGAAACTGTCTCAAAGGCCTCACTAAAGCCCAGGCAGACAAATGTTTGTTACGGCTGAGCCCTGCCCGCACAACACCAAGGCCTTTTCCGCTTCTTACGCTGCTCCACCAGCGAGTTGGCAGCGGCTGAGCTGCCTCACCCACCCTGACAGGCCAGTTGAACACCCATCGCCTCCCCGCAGCAAAGCACCGGGCCCAGGGCAAAGCGTCCGGGTTCCCTGCCGTTCCCTCTGGAAATATTTAGGGCTCACGCCCGAACACGACTCACCAGGTTTCTCCTTGTGGGCCAGGTTGTTTTCAGACTTGAAGGCTTCCATCGCTGCAAACCGTCCTGATCCCTAGAGCAGAGGAGAGACTTTATTACCCATCTGCCGCCCAAAATCCAGAGGGAACCGCTCAGAAGGACCCGGGAGCACGAGCTGCGCAGGGCTCGAGCCCTAACCCACGCAGGGGCATCACGGACACCACGACAGTACGTTAAAGGACATAAATGACATAAATTACACCCGTTGGGAGTTCCCGACTGCTAATTTGGCTTCTCCCAGCTCTGCTCAGCAGGCTGACAGCTGAAGCGGGGGTGTGCTTTCCCGCACACCCAGCTCCCGGGGCTCCCTCCTTCCCCAGGGTCACCCTGCAGTTTGTCACCGCTGCGTCCCCCGCAGGGCTGATCACCCCGGGGCCGCCTCGCAGAGGGGGGACAAACTCCGTAACAGGTCTGGGGGTGGCTCTGAAGCCAGGCCAGAGCCCGGGACCGGTCCCTAGGGGAACTGGCAGGCGATGTGGCACCAAGTGAAGGAGCTGGTGGCAGGGGGAAGCATCCCCAGGCTGCTCCCAACAGGACAGGGATCCTCCCAGCCCTCAGCACCACGGCGCGGGTGGAACTGCGGGTCCCAGCTCTGGGCGAAGAGGGGGAGAGGGGGTCCCAAGTTGAGGGGAGGCAGGAGAGGAGGGTGGGTGCCATCTCTGAGGGCAAGGGGGGTCCCAGGCTGGGGAGGGGGGCAGGAGAGGAGGGTGAGGTCCCACCTCAGGGGGTCAGGGATGTCCCAGGTTGGGGCAGGGGCAGGAGAGCAGGGTGGGTGCCACCTCTGGGGGCTATTGGGGGTCCCAGGTTGGGGCAGGAGCAGGAGAGGAGGGTGGGTGCCATCTCTGGGGGCGATCGGGGATCCCAGGATGGGGAGGGGGGCAGGAGAGGAGGGCGAGGTCCCACCTCAGGGGGCGAGGAGCGCAGTGGGGGGGCCGAGGCCCCCCGGGCCCCTCCTCAGGGGGTGACGGAGGGAGGCCCCAGGCCGGGGGGGCGA